CCGCCTCCTCTCTCCTGTTTTACCAAGTAACTCCAGGAAGGACAGGCTGCAGAGAGCAGACGCGCGGCCGGGCGCTGTGTGGCCCTTGCTGCTGGTGCAGCGGGGACCCACTGGCGGTGGCCACGGGACGGTGTGGGTGCCAGCTGCCCCGGCACTCCCTGCTGGGCTCAGGGCTGTCTGCCTTGGGGAGGCTGCCTCTGTCCTTGGCTGGGACACCTGGGACCAGCTGTGTCCCCCTGCCTGGCTTCTGCCGTGGTGGCCGCTGGCTCCTGCGGCACAAGGTGTCGGGAGGACGGGGTCCGGCAGCAGCGTGTCGGGGGGCTCACACCTGCTCACGGTGGGGCTGCAGCTTGCAGAGCGGTTTGAACTCCCTCTGCAGGGAAGAGTCGCTGCTGATGCTCTCTTTGCAATGTTTCCCTCTCTCTGCGGTGCGGAAGTCTCCTGTTAACAGCACGGGACATCGGCGCTGCCCTGTGGGGGTGTAACAAAGCCTGCTGAGGAGAAGATGCCTTCCTCTTCCAAGGGGAGTGGAAGAGATGCCTCTTAATGGAGGTGATACTCAGCCTGGTAGGTTGGGTTTGGGTTTATTGCTGTCTAAAGCTCCTGAAGGATGATTATATTAAGTAGAATAATGGGAATATTTTCATGGATTTGTTTGTTGTGTTACATGGTGAAATGATCTGGCAGAATAGTAGTAGAATTCCTGTGGATTTGGGTAGGTTGTACCCAACACAAACTGCTTCCTAAATGAGGCTAATGACATTCTGTGCAAGAAATTTCCCCTGCCTACCCTTTCACCTCAGTTAGATGGAGTCTGCTACCACTAACAGATAAAAGGTCTTAGAAATCCGGAGGTTTGCAGTATAGATACTCTCACCATTGAAATATGCCCTAAGAATGTAAGGCAGTTCCTTGAAAAAGTCTGGAGAAGAGAAGGATTGAATCCTGTGTGCCGTTTGTTAGAGCAGTGCTCTTGTGGTCAGAGAATCTCAATATCTAATATTCCCGTAAGGTAATAAATTTTTAGAGACCCTCTTTGTTCTTAGTAATATTTTTCTTCCACATTGCACATGTTCTGAGTCGGTGAAGACTTTTCTCCTCTGTTACATTGGTGAAATTTATATTTTATGAACTAATATTTTAGTGCAGAATTTCTTCACATTACCTGCACATTACTGCAAGTTAAGAGAATGATTTCTTTAAAAAAAACCTCAAAACTACCAAACCCAACCACTCTAATGTCTGTTGGAGCCCTAAGAGTCACCTGGCTCAAAGGGACAGAGAGAGAATGTGGACAGTGATGTGCTGTGTCCCTGCTGGCAGCAGACTTGCCGCACGGCTGGCGCAGCAGGACACCCCTAAAACCCACTTTCCATCTGTCATTTCTGGCAGTTTCTGGCACTTCAGCCTTGGGAGCACCTGGCATACTTGGAATTAGCGGTTCTGAAGATCTCAGACTTGGGTTATATCTGGCTTGGCTTTGTCATCCTGTCTGTGTCCTAGATGAGTGACAGATAATGTCTGTGCAGAGGGAGCTGTGCGTGGGGGCTTTTGCAGAGGTGTCTGTGGGAGCAGGCCCCGCTGGCTGTGTGTCACAGGGTCGGGAGCCCTTGCTTTGCGTCTTCTAAATGTGGCAGGGAAATACCTTTTCTTTGTCGAGGAGTCCGAGGGCAGCGGCTATGGGGTGATGGGGTCCTCCTGAGCGCTGTGGTTAGGGTGCTGTTGCAGGCTCTGTCTTGTGCTTGAGTCCTCCTGTGTCAATTACATTCTAATTAGTGTTTCGGCCTTCTAGGAGATCACATTAGTCTTCTGAAAATTGTGTTTAGTGATTATTAAATAGCAGCGTTTCAGCGGTGCTGTACAGAGAGCATACAGTTTATGAGTGGATTTACACCTGCTGTGCATCCTCGACTCTCCATCTCCAGCTCGGGGTGACCCTGGCTCCCCAGGGACCTGTCACCCCGGTCCCACTGTCCCCCCCAGCCGCTGCCCGTCACCCTCCCGGCCTGAGCCTGCCGTGTTACGGGCAGGGGCAGGGGGGCAGCTCCCGCCGGGCGGTGTCACACGCGGTGTCACACGCGGGGTCACACTCAGGGGGGTCACACGCGGGGTCTGTCACACGCGGTGTCACACTCAGGGGGGTCACACCAGGGTCTGTCACACGCGGCCGCAGACCGGCGGCCGGCATCTCCCGCCGGGCAGCCCCGTCCCGGTGCCGGTGCCGGTCCCGCCCCCGCCGGAGCGGGCCCATCCGTGCTGCCGGTGCCGCCGGGCAGGGCCGTG